AATATGTAATGAAGAACCTTTCTATAAAATATGTAATGAAGAACCTTTCTACAAAAATATGTAATGAAGAACCTTTCTACAAAATATGTAATGAAGAACCTTTCTATAAAATATGTAATGAAGAACCTTTCTATAAAAGAAAACTTATTAAGGATAGGATTAACATCACTGTTTAATTTCAACCATGGTAATTAAAAACTAAAATTCTAACATTATAAACCTTCAAGTAATTCTAAAAAAAAGGTGAAAGTAAGAACGTTATTAGTACATTACTTTTCTCATTAATGTGATTATTGAAGATTCTGAAAATAAATGAATTACATAAGTTTGATTATTTTTAAAAACCAATGGATATAAACAATTAGTCACTATACAAAGCTCACCTGAATAAATAGGTAGATAAGACCAATTGGTATAGTAGCAGCAATGAAGACTGGGTTAGTGACAGAGATAATGATGATAGTTGATAAAACTTGTAAAAGACAAGCAATCCATTCATCAAAATTTAAAGGAATCTCTATATCAACTACGTCAATATCCTTTCCAAACCTGTACCAAAAGAGTGTTAAGATAAATGCAGATATGATAAGCTATATTAGAAGAACATAACTAACTGGTCAAGTTAAATATACCAGGCCTCAGGATCAAAGTACATGATATGGTATCTTGGAATCTGAATAAAGAGAAGAAACGAGACATTAACTACCAAACAATTTTTAAAATCTCATATTTTCTGTACTTCAGGTATTTTTTCAGATAACTAGAAGTAACAGATAATAACATCCTCATCATGATATATTTTCTGAGATTATGTAGCAGGTCCGTGGCTCAGCTAAATCTTTACACTATACAGAATTGAACTTTCTCTTTTATATTTTTCATTATAAGCTTTTTGTTTCCTTTAGGTCATCCGACAATGCCTTTCTCCAAGTTTTTTCCAACTATCCTTCCCTTTATTATAAACTATAGTAAACTTTCTTCTCTATAACATGTCCAGTCCAGTTGTTCTGTCTTTTCCTAATTGTTTCAGGGAAATGCCTTTTTCTTCTAATCAACTCCACCACTTCCTCATTTGTCCATCAGTGCAGCTTATCTTTCTTATTCTCTATCACGTCCACATCTAAAACCTCTATAGTCTTCTAAACGTCTTCATCCTTTCTAAACGTTTCTGCAGCTGTAAAGTAGAAACACATCTGTCTCCAAAGATATCACTGGTTTGCCACAAACCACTGTGAGAATACTCATCTTTTTTTTTGTGGGTGGGGCAATAATTTTCACAACAGATAAATTTCTTAAAAAGATAGAACATGATCAGCAAACAGAGAACAAGCTGGGTGATAAGATACAAAGTAGAGCCAAAGTGAAACACGTGAAATTTGATCAGCCAGTCCAATCTTGAAACAAAAATAAACCTATGAAACTTGTAGAAGACAGCTATTAGCTAAATAGTATAGTAACATTACACTTAGGCATAAAGTCTATGTTACAGTACCTTGTTTTAATATTCTGTGACAGGTAAGTATCTATATGCACATACTTCGAAAAAATACGTATAACTACAAACAGTTGGAAACATACAAAAAAAATTATCATTTGTGTCATTATAGAAATTTTAACAAATACACCTCAACCAAATGATCATAACCTACAAAATAGTTCAGAGAACATATAACAGATGTCTATGTTTATGTACCTAAAACAACAAGAGATTAACAAAAACACTAGATGTAAATTAAATTCTAAATATTAAATTTTCACAGCTTGTAGATGAATTGTCCTATCTGTGAAAAACTTGGTACACACGTGTCAGGCCAAGATAAAGTTATACTTTTCTATCATCAAAGATAATGCTTATAGTTTAAACCAGTGTTGTAGGTCTCGAGACCACCCTTTAGAAGGTCTCACAGTCTCAGACCATTTGAGTCTCGATGTATTAAAGGTCTCAAAAACGAGACCGGCTAAATTTAAAAGTTTTACCAGTATTTAGACCTACCCAGTTATAACATGCACTATTCAAAAATAATTGCAACTATATATTGCATTACATATAGGCTTACTACAAGTTTGTATTAACTTCATCTGGTGCACATATTTATGTTAAACGTTAGCGATTATCCCTTACATTCAACATGTCTAGTAGATCTTCTGTGATCCTGTTCAGTTTACAAAGATCATAAAGAATTCACTGACACCATAAACTTTTGAAAAAAAGTTTCCTTTTTCTTTCGATTTATTTGCTGACCTTTTTATAATCATTCATTTCTTTTTTTGTTAAGGAGGAGACGTTAAAACGTTAAGACTATGAAGTTAATGTGTTAAAGATTTGCGGTTAAGATGTTAATAAAGTTTGTTTCACGCATGTGATTTTTATTATTCTTGCTTTATTTTTCATTGTGTAATTTATTAGAAGGTCTCGGTTTTGGCCACTGAGGTCTCGACTACAACACTGGCTTAAACACAGTATTTTTTACTTTATGTTTTATTTTTACAAAAAGTAGTATTAAAGACCACAAAACTTTTTCCTGCAAACACAAAATAAAAAGTAAGTCAACCATCGGCAAACACATCATTAATCTTGAAACAACCAGAATTATGTATTAAGTTGTTACTTAAACTAACATATCTTACAAATGAAAATGACACATCTAAACCACCTGGACATAACTAAAATGTCAAATTTTTCCTTTGCTGTCTGACACAGTACCTGTTTAAAGTCCTACCCATAGGAGTAGTGTCAAAGAAACACATGGGAGCCCGCATCACAGATTGAAGCATGCTATGATGGAGCACTCGACTTGCACGAACAGCACCCGTGAACAGTGTCGTTTTTGAAAGAAGAAAGAAGAGTGCTAAAAAATGATTTAATAATATTTCAGTTAAGCTCAGTTCCATACATCATTCAATATAGTTTCACCTAATTGGGTTAGAAGAAAACCTATGAGATACAAACATTTCCTGACTAGTTATTTTGGCTCTCACCATGTTTGATGTGACTGAAACATTTTTATTTTTAACCAACAACATGAGTACTGTTAGTTAAACTATATTCAGAAACCAATTTTACTGTTATTAATCATGATACTATTAAATCAACATAATCTGTTCTGATTACAGGTCAGTCATATTACTTTACTTACTAGAAGCTGTGCCTTTAATTAGTTAAATTACGTCCATGTTAAATGTCTTCCTTCAAATTGTTTGTAGGGATATCTATGTTTACATAAACATTTATAAACACAAATACAGAAAATGTCCATTAAATCTTTCAGAGACAAATGTCATTAGCACTGAAGCACTTTAAATACTCCTAATGTTGAAACTAAAGTTATAATTGGATTAATGCTCTTAAAAAATTCTGTTATACAGATGTTTTAGATGTTGTAAATGTAGTGTAAGTAGTATATATCTAATAGTTACAATTTATTAATAGCTGGATGTGTACATCTTATTATGAGTTAAATGTATCCAGAATACTGAATATACGCTTGAAGATTTCTAACTATTTTACTTAGATTTTCTTTACGTCTCCCATAGTGATCAGTGTAATGCAAAGTAAAGTATGTATGCATATGTAAGACATGACGAGTACATTATATTAAAATGATTCTCAAACTTCACCATGTCATTGCAGTCCATGTTGTTACAACCGTGCATTTTTATAATAACCCTACAGTGTAGTTTCCATTGCAAAAGAGTCAGTCATGTCCAAAGCACAAATCTCCTCCCTGCTGAATTTCCATATTTCATCTAACCTTATGGGTTGAAGGTTTCTCAGTACCCATTTCAACAGTCTGAATGCATAGAAATCCACAGGTTATGCATCCAGTGACTCGACCAGTATGTCTTCATATGTAACAGTATGAATGAATATCTATTTCATTCTCCAGCTGCTTAAGGTATGCAGTGGATGAACAAATATGTTGTGGAAGCAGCTTCTGTCCAGTTGACATGTGTCATTTTTTCAAACGTGTCAACAGATTTTGCCATTGATCTTTGTGTTTATGAATTCTCAACTGTTTCAAAATTCTGCACTTTACTTACTGTGGCTAGGGTATGACTTGTTGTAGGTCTCTTTTTGGATGGTCTTGGTGCTCCAAGTTTATCCACATTCCTTAGTTTTCCAGTGCCATTAAGTACAAGGATATCCCTATCTTGAGAAACTCAAAATCCACGATTTGAACATGTCTATATGATAGTTTGTTTGTTGAATTTTATGCAAGGCTATCTGTGCTAACCATCCCTGAATTTGAAATGATAAACTTGAGGAAAGGCAGCTAGTTAACACCACCTACTTCCAACGCCCCCATGGTTGAAAGGGCGAGTCTGTTTGGCAACAGGTTTTGATCCTACAACCTGCAGACTGGTAGTCAAACACCCTAACCATCAGGCTATGCCAGGCACATCTTTATGGCCTGAGTATACAAACATTTGTGGTGGAAAGGGCTATTACATACTCTTACTACAAAATTCCAAACAATGTCAAAATGTAATTCTAATAAATGCCGTTCCACTGTGACTTTATAGTGGATGTATTTGTCATCTGACTTGATCTGCATTTTCAAAATAATATAATACCCAATATTCTGTATATGCAGGAACAAGCCAACATTTGAATGTATTAATTTATTAAAGCTAAGTCAGGGTGATATGTAAACAATAAAGCTTTCACGTACTTTTATTTCTTAATTCCAAAAAGAGATTTGGATTCATTTGATATTTGAATTCCCAACAGCATGGCTGAATTCACACAGTTTTCCAGTCTATGAAGTACTAAACCCATATCCCCATCCAATTATCAACACAACACATGCCAGTGGCTACATATCTTGTACAATGTAAGACCTGATTCCTCATCTGTGTAAAGCCATTTTCTCTGTGGTTTTTCCAAAGTCTGTCAATAGAGATGGTCAAGGAAGACTCAATAACACTTACTTCCCACTGTACAGTGGCTATGTTACCTACCTAAATAAGAACACTTCTATTATTTTGTGCTGGAGGAAAACAGTCTGGCCAACCCCCTAAACTCTGCATCTTTGTGGCCAAACACTACAGAAAGGTGGATTCTTTTAATTGTACAGTGTATTTTACTTGTAGATTAACAGGTCAAGCCTTTTATCAGGGTACATTTGTTTTGGGTTCTAGCTTGAATACTGGAAACCATGACACCCCTTTGTTAGTCCATCCAATCCCCCAAAGTTGGTCTGATAAACTCATAGATAGGGTGTTAAATACCCAATACTAAAATGTAATAAACAAATTGATTTTACTTGTCTACTAAATGTGGTACTCGTTAACTAACAGTTATAGATTTTTAGTCAAGTGATACTTTGGTAATCCTAGTTCTTAATCTATATATATATACATATATTTCTCCTCGGCTTGTGGTATTGAACCTAAATCATGTGAGTGCTCTTACCAACTGAAATAAAGGGTTTAACCCACCAGCAGTTGATAGGACACTTAAAGTCAACTAAGATATTATTTCCTTCTCATAACCAGGCCTGCCCTCAAACTTTATCACAGTTTTGCAATAAAGTATTAGTATATATAAAACTTCTAGTGTAGTTTTACAGCATAAATTGAGTTCCTGAAAATAAGTTAAGGTCCTGTGACCATATAAATATATATATATATATAAATATAATATAATTAATTAATAACTTAAAGAATTACCTGCTTTGTAGTGAACAACAAACTTAATTTTTTAGTTTCATACTTGCAAAAACTTTGGTCTCAAAAGTCAGATATTTTTATCATAAAGTTCACTCTTTGGAAACATTTGTTTTAGCTTGAGTCTAACAAAAACTGTAGTGCCTTTTCACATTATAGTTATAAATTTACTTAGATATTCCCATAAATAAGCCACATGAGAAGGATATCAGGGATATTCAATGGGCAATAAAATAAAAAAGAACATTAAATCTGGCCTAAGATCTTTAACTAAAATCCAAGTCAGTGGATAAACATTATCTCCCTCAACTGTTAACAAAGATCGTTTAGTTCAGGGAATCATAATGTTAAATATCATGTAGCAAATCACCAAGATATAAGCAACCAACTTTGTGTTAGTCCTAGCAACCCATAGACAGTTAGCCTCCAGTTACGCAAGTCAATGTCCTGGGATCCATCAGGTAGAGGTTGATCATCAACCCAAACACTTAACCAGTATTTGGACAAAAGCTAGAAATAAAATAAAGCATTTTAACAAGTTAAATAAAAATGTGGTTATAATCTGAAAATGCAAAAAAGGACAGACACAAAAAGAGACTGGTTAAAGTTTTGACTAAAACGTATTAAGAACAAGTGGCATAACACTTTAAAAAAAAGTTTGTTTTGTTGGTTTGTTTGTTGAATTTTGAGCAAAAACTACTCAAGGGATATCTGTGCTAACTATCCCTAATCTACTAGGGATAGACTAGAGGAAAGGCAGCAAGTCAATACCATCCACTGCCAACTCTTGGGCTACTCTTTACTAATGAATAGTGGGATTGACCATCACTTTATAACACCCCATGGTTGAAAGGGTAAGTATGTTAAACTATGAGATTTGAACCTGTGGCCCATAGATTGGCGATTAGTGCCATAGTCAAAAAGGATAGTGCCTAAAGCACTGTAAAACAACGTACGGTCTTCTAAACCATAATAATTTGCTCATAAATACAATGTACCTTAGAAATAAACACCACATTTATGCAGATGATAATTTTAAAACATCTTACAAGAAAACCCAAGTGACTGAATATATACAACAATCTTTACTCTGACACAAATGATAAAGTAGGGGTCTTTCATGTACTACAGCTTCTAAGTTCATTAACTAATAGCTTTCAGTTAGAGAAAGCTGTGACTACTTAGATCAAAAATGAAAATAAATATCAACCTAATAATGAGCATAGGTAATAAAATATAGTTTTTACATTCTTACTTAAAAAGATTAGAATACATTTGTGAGATAACTGTTAGATATACACAACCGATAGTTTCTAATTTATTTTAATATATTGTTTTAAAACAAGTAGATTGTGCTGTTGTTGTTTTATAGTTGAAACTTATTGCCAACAAATCACAGACACCTGCTGTAAACAACCCAGCTTCACAAAACCTGACAGTGGCAAGCCAGCCAGGACTTACAATGGTAAATGGCAGTAAAAGAGAGGGAAAAGAGAAAGGCAGAGAAGAGAGGAAGAGAGACTGAAAGAAGAATGTGAGCATGAAATACAAATTGAGAAAGAAGAATAAGGAGGAGAGAAAAAGTAACATATTGATACTACCAAGCTCACCCAACAGAAAGATGGAGGACCCAAGAATGATAATGAGCTCAGGGCCAGCTGACCCAAGCTGCCTAAATCTGATAAACAGAAGACGACATGGATGCTTTCCTTGAGAGGTACAAAAGATTTGCCTAAAGTCAGAACTGGAACAAAGGTGACTGGGCAGTCTGTCTCAGCCCCCTTCTTACAGGAAAAGGCCTAGAAGTGTATGGGACATGACATTAGAAGATGTCATGGACTATGACAAGTTAGAAAGTGGCCTTGCTGAAATGCTATGGACCTACCAAAGAATGTTTTTGCTGGAAGTTCGGAGAAATCAAACCTGACATTGGAGAAACTGTATTTCAGTTTGTGCCACATCTACAGAGATTCTTCATAAGATGGACTGACATGGCCAAGTGTAAAGATAGTTTTGAAGGACTGGCAGATCCACTAATACATGAACAGTTCATGATCACATGCTCCACTGACATGTCACTGTTCCTTAAAGAGAGAACACCAAGAGATGATCAAGCTGGCAGAACAGTAAATAGAAGCCCATGGAGGGAGCATAACTAGCAAGTTCAAGAATAACCAGTTAAAGTTGAAACCAGGGGTGGCTGACCAGATGCAGGATGCCAACAAAGGTGACAAGAGGTTAACAGACTAAAGGGAAAAGAGATTCCAAGCTTATTATAAAATGGGGCACATTGTGAGTGAGTGCAAGTCTGTCACCAACAAGCACCAGCAGAAATCTCAACATAAAGCAGCTGGAACTATCTACAAAGATGATGCTGGCATGAAACAAGAGTGACTGTCACCATGGATGCTGTTGCCAGAAGAAACAGAATAGAGACAACTTGTCAGATTCACCACAAGAAGTGTTATCACTGGGAATGCACAGGTACCTGGCCAGATATTCAGCCCTGGCTGGGTATTGGGCTACCCAGTAATACTCAGCACTGGCAAAGTGTCGAAGTTACGCATCTAAGCCCTAATCTTTGTGGCAACTAATGCGGTACTGAAAGGTACAGTCAATAATTGGTTTAGTTAATAAAAACATGTTCTGAGCAATAAAGACTGACTGCCCACTGAAAGACAAGGATTCAGAGAACAATAAGGGTTAATAACAGACATGACTTCAGAAGTTGATTTCTGGGGAAAGTGGGAGTTATGAGAACAATAGTGGTTAGGGTTTGAGAAGTTGGGGCTGGGCATTGAAAGTTGAAAGTAAAACTTGAATGTTCTGTTGGTGATTATTCGGTTAAATGTAATAAATGTTAATTTTATTTTTGTTTCTAACTTTTGCGTATTTTTTGGGGGGCAAGGAGAGGACTCGGTCCTGCTTAAACACCCAGCCCCAGCTCAAGCTTAAAGATCGGGTACCCGGACCCGGTATTTGGCCAAATTTTACCACCCGTGCATCTCTAGTTATCACCATGATAACCCTTTCGCAGCAGGCTCATGCAATTTGCAGAAACTGAGTCACGAATTTCACTTGTACAACAATACTTGCAGTAACTCTGAGATTTCTTAATGTATCCTCTCAAAAACTGTAAGATTTCATTAACGATCATAAGTATCTTGTACACAAATAATCATGGTTTTATGATTAGGTATTTTTTATAAAAATATGTTATTTTTCATTGTAGTTCTTCACATTTCAAAACTATTAACAAATCGAGTGCATAGTGATTTTCATTTTAAATATAAAAATACTTTTCTTCATGTTATAGTTTTCATTTTCATAATCTCTAGAACCTCCTAAAAGAATATCAAAAGTTTTTT